ATCCGTGTTCCCTCTAAAGCCTCGTACAGGAAAGGATCGTCTGGGATTTCTAGTCAACATAACTGTTTCCAAGCATTTCAATGCATTTTGTTCATATAACACCTCTACTGACATCAGTTATGTTTTATGTAATCATAGAAAAGATAATTCAATGTAAAACTGCCATCTCCAGAAGACCTGCGTAGCACACAAGAGATACTCAGTGGCTGGAGCAGGTTTTTATGTCATAATGATATTTGGTCTCTAAACTTAAGCAGCACCTTTTGTGAATTGACAAAATGTCTAAACAGAAAACAATCTAAATGGCAATTCAGTCTCAACCAGAATAAATGTCACCCATTCATCACCTGGGACACAAATTACAGCAAAATCACCTTTAATTTGCCCGTTATGACCGAGTAACTCAAGCAATGATTTAAAAACCTTGAAAGTTAACAAAGATAACTTGTAATTTCATAGTTCTGTCATCGTCTCCGGGTTATTTTCACTGGCTGTTTGGTTTAAAATGTGGAGTGGATGATGCTTTCTGGAGCAGCTTCTCTCATCAGACTGATACATGGTGCCCTGTCCACATGGTGGGAGGAGCCTAGCATAGGCTATCAACTCATTCACTGCCAGCCGTTTCCTGATCGGTAAAGCCCTTTGCTGCCAGAGTTTCTCACCGTTTTTACAGTTTTTTTAAGAGTCACAGAACGTTGCGCGCTAGGATGATGTTGAAGCCAAAACAACCAAACCAAAGCGGAGACTCGTCTCTTACATCAGGAAGAATCTGCGTGTTTCGAGCATTATCCGTTCTTTCATAATCCGTTGTTGAATTGTGATCGGCAGAAGCTTTTCCGGTTCGCACCTCACTTTTTTTACAGCAGCGGCCCAAAACGATCTCCTAACACATGGATGTTCTGCTTCCTGATCATGTGACATGGGACGTATGTGGATGAAGATCGGCTTTAGAGCTGAGATGTTTGTTCTCTCGGTGCGGGGGCTCGTCCGACACCCACACAGTAAAAACATACAAATGACGACTTTAGTCGGCAGTGAATGAGTTAAAGATGAGGTACGTGGGAGTTACAGTTATTTTCAATCATTATCTTGTACTGGTTTCAAGGGTCCGGGCCTGATCAACTGATCAACCCTCCTTGGGATGAAAAGAACTGAGGCGAGAGGTCAGCTCGCTGGAGAAAATCTGACAAGAAGGAGCATTCTCACACCCCCCTGACCTCACAAACCTTCTGACCCAATCAGTCACTCCTTAACTCTAAAGTTTACATCAGAAAGCCATCCAGGACATGGTCATTCTGCAGGTTCCAACAAAAACAACCGGACGTCTTTAGTTTGTTAAAAAATGCCACGTCTCAATCAGTGAGATTTATCAGTTGTAAAGGTACCAAGTGTTCTTTACTAATGCAACAAATCATCCACCTGTAGCAGGACCACGAAGGCCCTAACAACACTCTGGTTACTTTCAAGACAGCTTTCATTAAAGGGGGACTAGGCAGTTGTGGCTTGCTTTAGCCCCCCCTCGTGTCCGTTTGTAGAACTGAAACCTCACAGTGCTTTCATCTTTTTAACCCCTTAATCTAACAGCTGAAACATCTCCCAGCCTTCTTCAGTGTCTAGATGGGTGATTCATCACTAAATTAAACAAATTAGCAGTGTTCATAATCTAAAGCATGCAGGAAACGTGCTGGAAACAGACTGAAGCGCAGGAGCGGATTGAGGACTGAAGAACATCCGGGGCTTAACACACGCACGCGCACACGCACGCACGCGCACACACACACACGTGACACGCACTAGTCAACATCATATATATTTGTCTTGTACCACATAATGTTTAATCTGAAGCTACATATTAAGCATATTCAGGGCAGAGTATTGTTCCTGTTAGTGTTTAGTGTGAGATGATAGTAAATATTCACTTTCTTTCTCCAACAACTTTACCTGATAAGCTAACTTTAGGCAAACCAGCAGCACAACAAATATTTTCAAATAAGACTCACAAACCTGAGTCAACACCAGTCTCGTCAAAGCTGGGGTTCTGTCATTGTACTTTTTGTCTAAAATACGTCCTCATGTCCATCTTCACTCATGCGTTTCAGGCAGAGAGTAGAAGAAGCCGGCTGCTGAAGGGCTTCTTCTTCAGTGGTGGAGGCTCAGGCAGGCTGTATACAAACTACTGCCAGCTGCTCCCTCTCTGTTGGACTTTGGTACTGCATGTCACTTCCATGTTTTAGATCCGGGCTTTTCATGAAACATCCGGGGCTTCAGCCCAAGTAGCCGGGCCTAATCCCGTCCCTGCTGCAGCGCAAGGTATGTCAGTTCAATTATTTACCAAGTCTCAACAGTGGACTGGCAACTTTAAAGTTGCAAGTGGAATATTCTGGCCACAGGGGGCTATAGGGGCTGGGTGGTTTTTCATTAACCCTGGAAAGGATCATTTTAGACATCCTGGCTCAGGAAAAGGATTTAAAATATGAAAAAGCTGCAAAGTATCATCCCT